GTATCTATAATCTAGTAATAATTATTAAAGCAGTATTTAATAAGTGGTTTTGATTAGAATTTTATTTTAGTCATAATCTTAAGAATCTAATATTAGTGTAATATATATATATAATTATAATTAGATTTCTAATATCTGGATACTAAAACTATAAAAAAATGCTAAAATAGTATTGTTAATGTGTAATTCTTGCAAATTGCGACAGTAAGATAGGATATTTGAGGGGTGATTCTTTTAAGTTTACATAATGACTCAATTCAATTTAACTTAAGATTTATAATTTACACAGTGGTGTACTTTTAACAAAACTAAAAATAAGATAACTCAATTGATTTAAAAGTATAATAATATGTTTATTTTCGATAAATAATAAAGAGATAAAAAATGAGAAAATAAGAAAGAATAAGCAACAGTAAAAGAATTAAAATACTAAATATAAAGATTAGGCCAAGCGTCTCTAACAAAACTACTAAAGGTATATCTAAAGTAAAACTAAAAGGAAAACCAAAAATAAACTAGAAGTGAACTAAAGTTTACATGATTTTATCATTCTCTATTTATATAAAATTAACTACATAGATGGATATAACAAATATATCAAATATATCTAATATGTCCAGTATATCTATTATGTAAGATATATTAAATATATCTTATATATCAAATATGTCTGATATATTTGACATTTAGGTCTGCAACATACTATATTACATTATCAATCTAATCCAGTTACAGTATAATTTTATATTTTTAATATATAAATTAAAAATTTTATAATTTCAATTTTAATTTAATAATGATTAAAGTTAATCAATAATAATTAAATTATAATTATTATAAATTTTTTATATATATATAAAAGTTATATATTTAATATTAATTTAAAAAAATTTAATTAATTTAAAATATAATTAATTTAATTACAATTAATTTTTTAAAATCCTTTTATTTTAATATAATATATTTATAATAAAGTTTATATTTATAAGTTAAATAAAAATTAATTAAATTAATTGATAAATTTTATTATCAGTAAAATTTTTTATAAATTTATCAAAAATTTAATAAGCTAAAGCAATATAATTTTTATTTAAAAATAATATTTTTATAATAAATGTTAAAAAAAAATAAAAATAAATTGATAATTAATAAAATTAAAGATTAAAATTTCTGATAAAAATTTAATATATTATTTTTATATAAATCAAAATTTTCATTTTAAATATTAATTTTATAAATAATAAAATTTAAAAATATATAAAAGATATTTAATTGATTTTTAATAAAATAATAATTTTAAAACATATTTTATAAGATATAAGTATAACTTAAAAAAATATATTTAAGATAAAAAAATTTTTTTTATATAATTTAGATTTGAATTTAATCAAATATATATAAACTGATTAAAGAGAAAGTGAAAAAAAATATTAAGATATTTTTACATATAATGTAGAGCTTTAAATCAGATTAAATTAATCTAATCTTATAGGTTAATTAAATTGTAACATATTGAATAAGTTATTGTTCTAGTTAAATAAATTGTTCAATTAAGATAATAATAAATCATTTAAGAAGAATAATTTGGTTAGGTTAGATTAGATCAGATTAAAAATCAAGTCTAATTTTTGTTTGATCTTTTAGGTTAGATAATTTGATTAACTTAATCTTATAATAATACTATATTATTTCAGTATATTAAAATATGTTAATTAATATATATTAATATATAAAGTATTAAAAAATTTTATTAATACTATTTTTATAAATATAACGTTTTACAAAGACTGTTAAAAAATCTTTCTGTTAAATTTTTTTTATCAAAAACTTTAGTAAGATAATTTAGTAAAATGTTTTATTATAATAAGAATTTAAATTTACTTAAAATTATCTTTTTAATTTTTTTAATATAATAAGTAAATAATTATGCATGTAATTTAAATTATTTTGTAAATATCAAAAGTATATATAATTACTAATTTCCTTCTTTTACTATAATTTATATAGTTTATAATATATCGATATATATTTATGATTTAACAGAATTAATCAATACAATTTAATTATTTATGATATTTTAAGAATATCAGTAATCTATGATCAATAGTCTTTTGATGGATAGATGAAAGAAGATTTTTTTGATTTAAAATATATATCATCAATATTTTCATTTCTACATTGCTCAATAATTTGCTTTACAATATGATTATAATATATGAAATTTGATTTTAAAAAATTTAACAATAATATTTTATTAAAACCTCTTAATAGCTTAAGTGACTCTTTAAAAAGATCAGAAAAAATGAAGCATTTGATTTACCACTTCGAGTTATGGTGAAAATATTTTAAAAAATATCTCTAAAGCTATTTAACCTATTTTCATACTTCTGTAAGATATTCACTATAGATTTATCATTGAGCTTAAACTCTAGTTCAATCAGTTTAATAAGATGAATTATTAAATTTTTAGTAGTAAAAGAAACTTTTTGAATAAAAAAAATAGGATAAAATACTTTTAATATAATATAATTATTAGTATCACTATATATTTTAGTGTATCTGTTTTCTTTTCATAATTGAATTAGTTTTTTGTCAAGTAATATAACTTTCACAAAAATTCTCAATTATTTTCAAAGCCATTCTTTGATAGATATTCTTTTATAAGATGATTGATAGGATTAGAGGCATACCATAATTTAAATTTTTTTGTTCTAGTTAGAAATATGATAAATTTATACTTTGAAATCAATTCTACTATGGTATTATAATTTCTATTCAATACAAGAGTATTTTTTGAAAGGAAATAGAATAATTACATGTTATATTCCTTAATAAAAAATTGTTCAGAAAATTGAGCAGCTTCTTCTTATAAGATCAAACTAAAGATAATTAAGAGCAAATCATTTGTCTATAGATCTTTAATTTTTTTTAGTCTAAGAAAATTTAATTTGCATCTGATCATATTATATTATATTTATTCTTCTATTTGATCAATGCTGGATCTTGTTTTCTATAATACATTAATACTTTTTAAATCAAATATCTTGAGAAAGTGACTTTCTTTATGATTAAAATTTAAAATACATTCTCATTGATGAAAGTAGAGCTCAACCTTATTCTGTAAAATAATGCATAGGTCTTTCTAAAATGATAAATTAATTACTCAATTTTTGATATAAGAATCTTTTGCAAGATTAGTTTATTATTTGTAGGTTAACACTAAATTTAGCAGTATATTAACATATTTAAATATTATAATTTTAATTTTAATTTCAAGATTGAGAAGTTAAATTCTTTAAATAAGAAGTAATTTTTGATATTTTATTATTATTATTTGTATATTAAATATTATTTATTTGTAGATAAATTACTGAATGATGAAATAAAAGTATAATAGTTATAAGATCTCAACAAATTTATAAAAAAAGGAGTAAAATGATCATTACGTCAAAGGAAAATCAGGTTCTGAGACTTTTTTTGACTAAAATAAAAAATAGAATTTTATTATATTTTAATATAATAATATCAAAGTTGAAATTTTATTAAAAATTTCAAACATCTTATATACTACTATATAAGAATTTTATTTATATTATGCATTTCTAAAAAAAATGATTTTCTAACAGTGAGAATTCCCTGTTTCATTCTATGATAAAGGAGTTCTGAACATAAAAAAAAAATTGAATTTTCCTTACTTTTTAGGTTAAATCTTATTTTATGATGATTTTTAGGCTCTTTCTAATTAGGAGGGTTAGGAGTTAAAAGAATTTTACTTGGTTTTTCACTTTGTAGTTTTCTTTATTTTACAATTAGAACTGGTGATAGTTTTCAGTATACTAAAAAGATGATTATCTAATGTAAGCTTTTACACATCTCCTAGTATTCTTGCACTTGATAACATCATGATTTGTTTTTTCAGATAATCTTGCTTATCATCATTTTTATTGGTCTCTATTTTTAGTATTATGTTAGCGCTTTTTTGTCAGAAATTTATTATTGGCTAGTGACGATTACATTTCAATTGTTAGTTAATTATATCTACCATCTAAAAGAAATAAGTGGTAAAGAGTTCCTATTTACAGTTTAGTAATTTTCTTTGTAGGATCACCTTTTAGTTATATGTCTTGTCTTGAGAATTTTTCAATTTACCTTGCATATTTTCTTTGTAAACTCTTATTACTCATTTCCAATACCATTATAAAAGTATGCATGTCTCTTATCTTTGAACAATTGTAAAAATTTGAATGGGAGTTAAAATAAATAAAAATAAAATACTAAAAAAAAAAATCTGGACCTTCTAAATTTGACGCCCCATCGTTTTATAACATCATCTTTTTTATAAAAAATCTAATCGTTTTGTAATTTAAATCATCATAAAAGGATTTAACAGATAAACCTTCTGAGCTTGTTATTTACAAGTTATATGTGCATTTATATTTACTATCTAGAACAAGAAGTTGATATCAAAAGTTATATTAGGAAAGTAAAAAAACCTTATTACTATTATTTTTAGTACAAACTTTATGAAATTTTGCTTCGAATTTTTCTTCCATTTTACAAAATGTTTGGTACTAAAAATTTTGCTATACAAGAGCGACTGCATAGGTAAACCTTTTATTATGTAATTTTAAAAAGTCAAACGAAATTTTAAATGCGCACGTTTACTGCGCCTAAAGTCAGGTTACAAAAAACAAATATACCAAAGAAAACAAAAATATCTTTTGTTCTAAATCATGAAAAATTCATACACAACACTATATGTATAAAGCAACATTTATATTTATAAACATGAGAAAATAAAATGAATTAATACTTTTAACAAATTTAAAAAGTCGATTTTCATTAAATGAGATAAATTCTCAACCAACATTGATTGCATCGAGTCTGAAATTATATATATCATTAGAAAGATTTTGATTAATCATTTTTCCTGCTCTTCTAACACAAAAGTAGCCGTTAAAGGCAACCATTTAAAAAAAATCGAAATAAAGATCAAAATTTTACTTTTCCAATTTGTTTCGTCTATTGATTCCATCAATTGAAGCCGTCGTTTTTCTAGCATTAAGGATCATAATAAAAGTTACAGCAAAAACAAAAATTGCACTAATTAGTAATATATATATTGTATTAGGAATAGCAGCTGGCGTTAAACACCAAAATTTCGTTGATCCTAGAGAAGGGATTTATAGAACGATAATGATTATATGGATTGAGATAAATAAATCATCATGTGAATTAATTTAGTGAAGCTTACCAATCAAATTTTCCATATCAAAAGGTTTGGCTTCTTACAACGCTCTAAATACCGCGGTTAATAAATAATTTTTTTGCACATCTATAAAAAAATACATTACAAAATTTGCTTACCAAATAAGTGAAAATTGCAATACCGGCCATTAAAATCATATTGATATATATTTGAAGAAAGAAAAGGCATGTTAGAAATTTACAAGATGTTTCAGGAAAAACCTTATGATAATCAAATATAAATTTATTAATCTTATAATTTATAATTACATTGGAATATGTCTGGAATACTGAGATATAGAGGAACTCGACTTGACATTTATAGAGAACTTGTCGTATATGCGGAATAGATCTACAAAAAAATCATGCTTACATGTATTACCACGAATTAACATGGTTTATAATAATAACGTACCACAAGAGAGTTTGCTATAAAATCTATATGACCGAAAGTGATGAATGAAAAATTTGTACATAATATAATTGTAAAATGCGGAAATAAGTTTGTAATCTAAAAACAAGTTAGATTCAATGTGAATATGATTATATTAACAAGTAAAGTTTCGGTATAATATGCAAATTTTTGCATCCAAACCCGATCCTAGAAACAAAAGGAAAAGTTCAGGGAAAAGATACAAAATGGCGAGTATTTATTTTCATACATCCTTGATTTTGATCTCAATAAAGGGTGTTTTAAATTAGATTTGTTTATCTTTATTTTTATCTATGCGAGTCAAATTAGTTTAAATGCTAAACATTTTAATCATATTATATTTAGTAAAATCCAAAACGGAAAATTTCAGAAATTTTATTAAAAAAGCCCCAAGTAAAAAAGTTCTCGGCCTTGCTGATAATAATAGAATGTTTCATACTATATATAACATAACATATGTTAAAGTAGCATTACTAAAACCAATGGCACTTTTTTTTAAATTGTGGCTTTTTTGAATTATTGAAAAATGTGGCGTTTTTGATTAATACTAATTCGAAAATATCTCATATGCGTGATATTATATCAATGCTTAAAATTTTTTCGCAAAGAAATTATATTTTACCAAAAAATAAAATATTAACGTTAATTCTCCAAATCAACCATAATTTAACTATTTAATCATTCTAATCTTCATCATATATGCGCCAAAATCCATACTTCAGTCAAAATAACTCTTGAATGTTCTAAAGTTAAATTGTCACCATAATTGCTGCCTCTGGTACTAAACTTCATAAATATATCACGATATATTTGGAGGGTGCGATGCGGTATGACAGATTATTTATAAAAATCACGCCCGATATGCTCTTAACAACGCGTCAATTTTCAATAACAAAAAGTCCGTTGTTTGCACTGCAGTCCTAAAATTTTTATAAATTTAACGTCCTCGGGTTTAAAAACTTAGAACAATGATTCAGGCGTAATTTCTTGAGGATAGCGTCTCCTGGGAGTTATTTTACTTGAAATAAACTAGGAGTTTTTCTTGAAAATATACTACCGATTTAATTTCTTGAAAGAACGTCGTCGGATGTTATTTTTCTTGTAAAACGTTTACCAGACGTTATTTTTGAAAAACAAAGTTCACAGTGATTTATTTTTCTAGAAAATATCGTTTCGGGCGTCAAATTCTTGTCGCCGAACGTTTTTTTCTTGAAATAATTTTCAGAGACGTTAAATTGACGTCATTTTCAAGATTAATGTACTCCGACGTTAAATTCGCAAAATGCCGCAATAAAAAAAAAAAAGAATTTCGTAATAATAAATAAAACATAACTCTTTCTATAGAACCCATTATTATTCTATTTTGTAAAAATTTTCCTTAATTGGATGGAAATACATTGAATTCCGTTATTAAGATCAAAATTTTATTTTTGAAAGTAACGTAAATAAACTATATTTTTTGTGTAAATAAATATGATTAAAAATCAATACCACCAAAAAGTCTGATTAAAAACGAACGTATTGAAATCACATTATGGTTTACTATGATCTGCAATACAACACTGGTTGGCAATGCGTTTGTCAAAAGTATTTAAAGAATCCCTTCCCTTGCTTCATAAACTGCCATAATCACGTCGTCTCCTTTGACAATTAAATATTTTTGTCAAATTTTCTTGAGTTTAAGGAACATCACACAAGCTCTTGAAGCCTCTCTGAATTTAGATGTCTCAATAGTTATTAAAATCGTTTAAAATATGCTAAGAGAGAAAAAAAAAATATACAAGTTATATGGCGCGTAACAAAATATGATTATATCTGCGCCATATGATAATCTTTTTACAAC